GAACTGAGGCAAATGAATAATATAGGAGCCGATGAAATATGTAGAACTGACGTCATGACGCGCTGGATTTACATAAATTTACCGCAATGGCGTTAGAATACACACACAACATACGCATTGTCATTTGAACGATTTTTTAAAAGCTTCGAAATCGTTGGTATTCTAGGAAGACATCAGTGAGGTCGAATTGACTAAAAGTTCCTGGCATACGAGCAATGAATGAATAATTTTAACCTTACCTTCTACATTCTGATCAGGTACAACATATCCGAATTAGTTAAACCCTGAAAAGGGTGGTCTGGTTTGGTTTGGTTTTTTATTATTCTGCAGATAAAAATTTCGTATAAATTAATGTTTTAAAATACTTCGTTTCCGAGATACAGGGTGTAGAAGTTTCATTTTTATTTCTATTTTTTTCAAATAATTTTTGAACTAACCTCGATATATGGATGAAAATTGGTATTTGGGTCTTTTTTGACCTGGGAAATTCGATTTCGATGTCAATATATAATTACAATATATTAATTAATATAAATTAAGTTAGGTATATACTAATTTGCCATAAATACATATATTAGAGAATTTGTATTGATGGCCAATGCTATACAAATTGATTGTCTTAAAGATCCATTCGATTTTCTAAAACAAACTCTCCTTTTTTTAAATATAATCGATTTTCTAACAAACAAGGCGTATTATATTTATTATTAAGTCTGTTCCAACCCGCCGCAGAACCGTCACTGAACGATCACGCTCGTGCGCAAATAATTCAAATGTGTTCCAACCGAGATTTGACGGTTATCGCAAAGAATATACCTAGCTAGAAAAAGAATGGACTCTGCCATACTGAAAAATGGTCCTACAGAAATGGCGCCATCTATTGAGTAGGGCTTGTTTTAAATGGATCGAAGCGCGGGCTTTTTAAATGAGCATATTTATTGAATTTTACTCTAAAATAAATAAATTTGATTATTAAATCGTATTTTTTATACAAATTCAACAATACTAATAACAAGAAGTATCGTTGTTATGTGTAAAAAATAAGATGTAACATTATAATTTATACAATTATTAAATAAAATTAAAACCAAACATGTGTAAATATTATTTATTATTTAAAGTTTTTATTTATAAGTCAAATATTTAAGCATTGTTTATTATAATAAAACAAGGCCAACGTAATACGCCCAAAGTTTTGTAAATGGAGTAAATATAAATAGGTACTTAAATGATGGCAAAAATAAAAGACTTACATTATATTTTTAGAGCCACAATTAAAACACATATAACAAATTATAGTTTGAAAAACGTTTTGATAACCATTTGATAATATTATGATCAAATTATGATATGATTATGATTGGCGCTATGACAACGACAATATTTTTTGAGAATTTGACAATGGTATGACAATGGCCGTTTGAAACTATGGAAACTACAAAAAAATTCTGATTTAACGCCATCTGGCAATAACTAGTAGCAACTTCTTAACCTAAAAATTAATTACACTACCACCTAGCGCCTGAGGCTGGAACTATTTTATTTGAAATTTCCGTGGAAACGGTGGAACCGCTTTTGCTATTTCACTTTCCCGCCCTTGGGTTATCGGACGATCCTATTTGCGTACCAACCTACCTTGGGATCGTTTAGTTACGATTTCAGAACGGCAATTTCGGTACATGGTCCAAATTGAGAACTGTTTGGGTGAACTTGCGCATTAAAGCATATTGGCAGGGATTATCGACTTTTAACAGCTGAGTCAGGGGTGCAACTTTCTTCAAGTTAGCAACCGATCGTTTAGAAGCGATGTCGAAGCCACATCGATACTATGTTCATTGCAAAACTATTGTCGCTCAAATGCTGCGAAATATGGTATCACTATCACACTCTTGCACACGTGTCTAGACTGTCGCCTCGCCACAAAGCGAGAAATCAGAATATCGCTACGAATCGATGTTGCTACTGAACATAGTGCATCAAGCTACAAATTACATTGCTATCGCTTTGAAACATGAACAAAGTTGCACCACTGGTCCGGCGTCTGGCTGATGCTTCTCTCTTCGTTATTTTTTACGAATTCGAATACGTGTGCGTTATACTTTTGCTTTTGAGTTTGTGTGGAGTGAATCGTTCGGAAATTTTAAATTGTACACTTTCATAATTATCCTTAGATAATAATTATAAGGATGAGTGACGATGGTATGACTGATATCTTTACCTCCACTTCAGATAGTGACAATTTGGAGTTGCTGCCTAGTAAAAGGGTGAAAAATGAACAATATTTAGGTAAGCTTTAATCGTATTTTCTTGTTTCTTCGAACAAAAACAAAAAACCGATCGATACACGCACGCTTGACACTTTTGACAGTCCCGAAAGCAATCAACAAAGCGTTCCAACGTTGATATTTTTTCCACCGTCACGAAACTATTCGAAGTCCGCGCATGCTAACGAAGTGCAAGAAAACCGATTCGAGTACGATTTCGAAACGATCCCGAAATGCTGGTTGGAACAAACCTATTATATTTGGGCATATAATTGTGTTTTCTAGAAGGACCATCATTCGTTTTTATTCATCAAACAGCCTGTTCCTTCGGGAACTCGTATACTTCCCAGAAAAAGTTCATTAGTAAACTTTATTCCTCCCACTATGTTCTTTTTGGCATAAAATAAAACGCTCACGTACAGGATCGTTTTCTTTTACCTACTTTGGAGTTTGTTGTAGTTTCGTAAAGTCTTCTAAAGTGTAATTTGAATAATTTCGAGGGATCTAAAGTACCAAAATCGAGTTTTTTGAACTTAGAAGGAACTAAGAGAGAATCGAGCGATACCCCCTTGTTAAGCGTTAGAGATTATTATTACTATTATTTTATTGGAATAATACTGCTTTTATTTTGAAAACTAGCGTGTACCCGCGACTTCGTTCGCGTCGAATTAATCATTTGTAATGGTGATGATAAAGCAAAGCAAGAATTAACATACAATCCGAATAAAATTTTCTCACATTTATATATTATTATATAACTTGGTAATATTTGAGGGGTAGTTTCATCTCGTTGGAATTTGAATTTCGAAAAATCCGTTTGCCAAAAATAAGCTTTTTACTTCCAGCAGTTTAAGCAGAATCGTGGTTAATCAATTACCCAATTTTTTGGAACACCCTGTATGGTTTTTAAAAAAAAAATTAAAATATGTAAAAAAAAAACAAATAAATTATGCGTGTCCATGTGTATGGAGCAGTTGCCTGGTACACAAAACTAGAGCAACGGCCGGCAAGGCTATGCAAAGTCCAGAGACTAGCATGTGTTTGCATCACAGGAGCCATGAGAACCTGTCCAACAGCAGCAATGGAGGTCATTCTAGATCTAACACCACTGCACATTGTCATTGGTAGATATGCCAATGCGACAATGATTAGAATGGTCACTAACGGAATTAGTACTGGGAGAATTGTCAGATCAGGGGCTTGGAACACCCTCAAAAGGAAATACCACTCCTGCAACTCCCAGTGGACGATATGCCAGAACGTACAACTTTGACAAACATGTCAATGTAGTATTGAGCAATAAGAAGGATTGGAAGAGCGAAACGCTTGCCCAGCAGTTAAAAGACCATACCATAACTTGGTATACTGATGCTTCCAAAACCAATACGGGAACAGGGATCGGAGTGTTTGCGCCGAGAGCTAATTACTCCAACCAATGGGCACTTACCCTAGTATCCTACAGGCAGAAATCTACGCTATCGAGAGATGCGTACAACTTATCTTAGATAGGAACTATCGGAAACAAGAAATAGCCATCTTATCTGATAGTCAAGCAGCGTTAAAGGCGATCAACTCAGTCTCAATCAATTCGAAATTGGTCAAAGAATACATAGAGAAGCTGAATAAATTAGGCAAAGAAAACAAAGTCCTCCTACACTGGGTGCCTGCTCACCAAGGGATAAAAGGCAATGAAAAAGCAAATAATCTAGGTAGAAAAGGAGCGAACACTCCACTAACTGGACCAGAACCGTTCTGCTTTCCAAGTGGTAACCAACTCAAGGAGGAACTCAAGAACTTGGAAGATTCCATCCGCAACCTGGAATGGAAATCTTGCAATGGTCTAGGACACTCGAAGAAGTTTCTGAGGGCTTATGATCAATAAAAATCACAGATCTTCCTAGGTCTGAGTAAGAACAATCTTCGGATTGTCACGGGGTTTTTAACAGGACATTGTCTCATCAATGAACACCTCAGTAGATTGAAACTAAGAAGAAACGGCGAATGCAGATTCTGTGGGGAAGATGGTGAAACACCAGTACACCTCATCACTGAGTGCGCCGAGACGACAACCATTCGTGCCATGAATTTTGGTACGACTGATATTGGAGATGGAGAACTACCCTCTATAAAACCGTCCCAGATACTGGCTTTTGTCAAAGCCCTCGGACTGTATGATGAGTTATGATTCAAGAAAGGGGGACACAATGGATCTGTAAGGTCGAAGTGATTAACCCCCCTCCCACTCATTCTAAATTCTAAAATTCTAATGCGTGTCCAAGCGTTAGAATTTAAACGCGCGAAAGACTAACCGTTTTTTAAATAACAAATATTGTAATATTTGAGGGGCGTTTTTACCCTCTTGGAATTTGAGATTCGAGAAACCCCTCCTTATCGAACCTCTACACCCCACAGTCAATCCGTTTGCCAAAAATCAGCTTTAAACGTCAAGCAGTTTAAGCAGAATCAGTTACACAGCTATTACTTAACATCTATTATCGCTGTTATTTGTATGATTTCCCTCTCCCTAGAGTTTGCGAATAATATTTTAAAAATGTAAATTTATTTATGTATACAGAGTGTCTTAAAAGTGAATGTATAATTATGAAATTTATGTTTAATAGGCGGTTCATCTCAATAAGTGCTTTTTATTCAATCAATTATTGAGGACAGATATTTCTATTGAAGTCACGTTGGGCCAATAGACGTTTGTTAATGTTATATTCCTTTTTGTTACAGAAATCAATCAAAAATGGGTTGTTTCGGCAGCAAAGACAAACTGTCGAAGGAGGACATGGATTTCCTCAGGAGCCACACTCGATACGACGAGAGTACCATCAAAGAATGGTATAAAGGATTTAAGGTAAGCCGATTGCCCTCCTACATCAAAGGCGGCCGCGTTCAGTTGCACTCGAGAGGTCTTTAGAGCCAGCGATCTGGAAACTCGAATCCTGGAATTTTTGTAGTTTTTGCTATTTATTTCTGGATCTCATCTATGATGAAAATAAAGGTATGAAGGAATATGGATTGAAACTATTTTTATTTATGATTAAAAACACTTTTTATTGCTCAATACTAAAGTGAGTTAAGTTAGGGTAATAAAGGGTAATAAAAGGGATTGTGCGAGGCTGGGCTGAGAAATAATCGGCCTCGGCAAGAGTTAGCGGCGCTAGGAACAAATGCAATTGTTTTTCGTAAAAACTATCTTTCAAGCGACTTCTGTCAAATTTTCAGCGAGCTTGGTCACTTAGTTTGTACTTGACAGTGATTGAAGGCGAACAGATTTTGCATTTTTACAAAAATGAATAAAATCGTATAACGCGCAGTGATTAGATTCTTGTTTTTAAAAAAGAAAACGAACGATGAGATCAAAATCGAACTGGAAGATGTGTATGGGGACTCTGCACCTTCGTTATCAACAATAAAATATTGGACTGCCGAATTTAAACGCGGTCGTACGATAATTTTTGATGATGAGCGTCCAGGCCGGCCAAGAGAGGTCACCACACCAGAAGTGGTCGATAAAATCAATGGTATGGTAATTGACTATTGGCGGGTAAGAGTGTGCGAGATTGCCGAGGCTGTGGGCATGTCACGTGAACGAGTGGAGAATATATTGCACGAATATTTGGGAATGAGGAAGCTCGCTGCCAGATGGGTGCCGCATTTGCTCAATGCCGACAACCAGCGAAACCGTGTGAACTTCAAAGGAGTGTTTGGCAATGTTTAACCACAATAAGAAGGACTTTTTGCGCCGTTTTGTAACCGTGGATGAAACTTGGGTCCATCACAATACTCCAGAGACGAAGGAACAGTCAAAGCAGTGGGTTTCTCAGGGCGAGTCAAAGCCAAAGAAAGCCAAGGTGGGTCTGTCTGCTAACAAGGTCATGGCCACAGTTTTTTGGGATGCGTACGGTATTATTCATATCGATTACCTACAAAAGGGCAAAACGACCACCGGCGAATATTACTCAAAGCTGTTGGACCGATTCGACGCCGATTTGAAGCAAAAACGACCGCATTTAGCGAAGAAGGAAGTGCTCTTCCACCAGGACAACGTACCGGTGCATAAATGTGCAGTCGCAATGGCAAAACTGTATGAATTGCGTTACGAATTGGTTCCTCATCCGCCATACTCCCCAGATTTGGCGCCCAGCGACTATTATCTGTTTCCAGACTTGAAAAAATGGCTTGGTGGTAAGAGATTTGAGTCGAATGGGGAGGTCATCGCTGCGACAGAGGCCTATTTTAAGGACTTCGAAAAATCGTATTATTCGAAGGGCATCGAAAAATTGGAGAATCGTTGGACAAAGTGTATAGAACTTAACGGGGACTACGTTGAGAAATAAATTGAGTTTTGCCGAAAAAAGTTGTGTTTTCTTACCTAGGCCGATTATTTTTCAGCCCAGCCTCGTAATAACTCTAAAGTGCCTCTAAAGTGTATTAGCGAATACTGGATGCAAAACTCATAAATCAAATTGACAACCAACTCGAGGAATCGCAGAGTGGATTTAGGAAGGGCCGTAGTATACACGATCATATATTTACAATTAAATAAATAACGGAAAAAAATAGGAATACAAATGTCCAGGTTTACCACGCCTTTCTTGATCTTGAAAACGCCTTTGACAGATTTCCAAGATCTGAAGTCCAGAAAACCCTAATAAATAATAACATTGTCCAAAACTTAAGAAGATCAATAATAAGTTTTTATTCCGACACTGGACTAATAATATGCATTCAGAAGAGTTTTCAATTCGTGAAGGTATTCGACAGGGAGGTGTTCTAAGCCCAATTCTATTCAATTTAGTTATGGATTATGTAATGAAAGAAACCAGGCGAGAGACATCTAAACTTCTTGTAGGGTACTAAAATATGCGACCTGTGAGGATCAATGAATGGGCTTTCGCTGATGACATCGTTATATTTGCAAGGAACGAAATAGAACTTAAAAGGAATCTCAATACATGGAACAACAAATTATCTACCAAAAACCTTAAATTAAATAAGAACAAAACAAAAATAATGATTAGAGGAAAGAGTGAAGCGATAGTTAACTTAGAAATAAATGATCAAATAATCGAGCAGGTAAATTCTTTCAAATATTTGGGAGTCAACCAAACCAAACCAAAACCAAGAGATAACTGCAAGAGTTCAAAGCGCTGCAAATCTATACCATAGCATAAATAACAGCTTTCTAGGTAAAAAAGAAGTATCTCTGAAGACCAAAATCAGCGTGTTTAATTCAGTATTCGTACTAATATTAACATTCGGTAGTGAGAGATGGGTTCTCACCAAGAGACAAGAAAGCTTAATACAAGCACTAGAAATGACATACAGTATCGGACAAAATTAGTGCAACTTTATGATTTTTTCCACTTAAGGCAAATTATTTTGTAATATGAATTTGAAACTACTACCCTAAAACACGATTTACAAATGAAACAAGAGAATACTAACAAATATTTATTTCCTATTGTTTCATTAAAAAAAAATAATAAATTCCAATAATCCTATTTTTTACTGCGACAAAATTAAAGCAACTTTTATTTTTTCCATGCTATTATGAATACAAACTAAATTTAAGTATCAAAAAGGCCGCATTATCAATATTTTGTCCAATACCCTTTATTTGCTATCACAGCTTCACACCTCTTGGGTAGTGAATCAATTAAATTTGAAATGACGTCAGCATCAATTGACATCCAAGCATTTTCAATTTCTTAATACAAACTATCACAATTTGAGATATTTTTTGAACGAATCTTCTTTTCTACTATTTCCCACAAATTTTCAATGGGGTTGAGGTCAGGTGATTGTGGAGGCCACTTTAAAACTCGAACATTATTATCGTTAAACCACTGTTTAACAATTTTCGCTCTGTGTTTTGGATCATTGTCATGTTGGTATATGAATTTAAGTGGCATTTCCCATTCTGCATAAGGCCACATAACATTTTCAAGAATATTGCGGTACACAAATCGGTCCATTTTTCCACATATTTTGTATAATGGGCCCATACCGTAGGAAGAGAAACAACCCCAAACCATTATATTTCCTCCTCCATGTTTAACCGAGGGATTTATGTATTTTGGGTGTAGTATTTTGCCTTCTGGACGACCTACCCATCTAGCACCATCACTCCCAAAGATGCAAAATTTTGATTCGTCTGAGAACAGCACCTTTCGGGCGGACCACTGACGATGAAAGGTAGCGGACAGTAGTTTCGCATCCCGGTTTTTCTTTGACAATACCGGTTTCTTAGCAGGTCTTCTAGCCTCGAGACCAGCTTCAACTAGGCGTCGCTGAATGGTCCTGGAAGAAACCTCCGGTTCTCCCAAATTGGCCAATAGTTGTTGATCTGACATTTTCGGCTCCCTTTGAACTAACCGTTTAATGCGACGATCAAAACGTTTGTTGGTTTTTCTATGTCGTCCACCTCGTCTTAAGTTAACTACACGACCGCGATTCCAGAAATTTTTAATTGTCTTCGAAACAATATCTTTTTTGAACAAAAACCTTGTTGATATGTCTGCCTGCAACATGCCACTTTTGTAGGCGTCAACGATGCGTTGTTTCAAGTCAGAGCATAATGGTTACTTGTATCAACACTCTCAGAAAACTAACACTGCGTAAAGATCAAGTCGCTCTAATTTTGTCCAAGAATTTCATCAACATATTTGAAAAAATGCAAAAAATTGCAGATAAGGAATACATTTAAGTCAACAAATAATCGAAATGTTTTGGTTGAAAGAAACATTCCATTGCAAAAATAAATAAACCGATTCAAATAAATGATGGCAGTTAAATGCACATTTTCTATAGTTGCTCTAATTTTGTCCGATATTGTACTTACGAAAAGTGCTAGGGGTTACGAGAATCGATAAACTATGCAATTCCGATATTAGAGAGCAGCTGAAAGTCGAGCCTATCGAAAACTGCCAGTTGAAATGTACGGACATTTGAAGAGACTAAACAAAGAGAGACCAGTAAGAAGAGTATGGGAGGCAAAAAGGCAGGAAAAGAGGAAGAAGGGTAGGCCTGCAACTACTTGAAACCAAAATATTGCAAAATTACTTAAAACTAGAGGGATCAGCTGCGCCAAAACTTTGGACAAAAAGTGGCAAAATTTTGTTTTTGGAAAGAAGTAGCTACTAGAAGCTTTCGGGTAGAACGCTGGTAGTACTACCATGACTGGTAGTACACATTGATAATTTATATTGTTATACTAATGATAAATTACAGAAATATATATTTTTCATATTTTTAGAAACGCGACTGTATTAAACTGGTGTGCTATATAATTTCCAATTAATTTTGACGCGTGTATACGCGAGTCTGCCATGTTTCTGCCGAGGAAAATCCGATTTATTAAATAGTATCCGTGGTCGGAAAATATAATAAGCGATCGACCCTGAATTTTCCAATTTACTCACTTGTTTCTCACTGGTTCGAAGATGTCGCTTGCAGAACTCTGTAATTTCATTTTGCGAGACACGTATAATTGAAGCGAATAGAGTAAAATTTCATTATTAATACATATACAATAATAATTTTATTTCTTTGAAATAAGAAATTTGGATCCAGAAGAAACTTACAAATAATTAGGCTTAGAAGAAGGAGACGGAATCGACAACAAGAGTATGAAGAATAAACTAAGAAAAGAATATTATAGAATATAATCAGAAAAGTGCTTGACACAGAATTATGTGCAAAAAACAAAACAAAAGCTATAAACACAATAACAATTCCAGTAATGACTTACAGTTTTGGTTTAGTGAAATGGCCAAAAAAAGAGATAAAAAAAATTGGACATAAAGACTAGAAAACTACTTACCTCAGAGAAAATTCACCACCCAAAAGACAATATTGATAGGATCTATATGAGAAGACTAGATGGGGGAAGAGGTTTGCTAGAGCTTGAGGAAGCATTTGAAACTGCAATCATGGGACTGAGTGAGTACATAAAAGAGGAAAAAGATGAATCAGTTAAGATTGACGAAGCAAGAGCAAAATACTCAATCACCAAGGAAGCAGCACGAATCAGAATGAAATATGGCACAAATGAAGAAACATCCAGGAACATGAAACTGAATATAAGAGAAGAAATAGAAAAGCGAGATTATTAGAGTAGCATACAATGGTTAGGAGATAATGAGAAAACAGGATTGAAAGTAGAGACAGAAAGCCTAATAATGGCTGCACATAATCAAGCTCTAAGTACAAGATATAGACAAAAAAAGATCTTCAAATAAAATGTGGAAAGTAGATATAGAACAATGAATGATTTTATATCTGAAAGTAGAGTACAACCTCTCTAAATATTGATGGATAATTGAAGGTTGTTGAATACGGGCTTCTATAGACACTAACTAAATTAACTAACTTAGTTTTACCTGAGGTTTACACAACTCTCTGTAGTAGAAGAACTGCGTTACGACACTTAATATTTTTCTTTACATATTTTGTTATAACGTTTATTCCCATAGAAGGATCCATTATTTGACCTATACTACTTTTTAACGGAATAAATACATCAGAATGGTACCAAAAAAAATCAAAAAAGCAAAGATATGTATATTTTTTTGCTTAAATAACACTGAAATAAGAAAACTAGTCAAAGCATAGAAAATGATTTAATCTAGTGGATAACAATATATTCGATTATTTTAAGAACTCATTGTTTTCGTAATTTATGAGCATATGAATGACACATTTGCAATTTTTTATTGACTAATAATAGTATTTCCGCATTTAATGTTCGTCGATTCTTGCAATGCTGAAACGTAACAGCTTTATTATACCTGCCCTCATAATATTATCATTTTTACCGTATTAGTTTCGAATAGCAGCATAACTATAAAAATAAAAATAACTATTTTTGTCAAAGCTGCCTCATGCTTTTTTGCCTAACATTTTACTATTGAAAGACACTAAATATTTTGTTTAACCTATTCCACTAATAGTTATTTTTTACACAGGACGATAAAATGGTATTTTATCGTCTTGTATAAAATACCATTTTATCGTCGACCATTTCTGGAGACGATAATGCAATTTTATCGTCGTGTATAAAACAATATTTTTTTCCATAGCGAGTTACGTTTTAACAAATATTCAGAAATTATTATTTCAAAGAATTTATTACGAGTAAAAAAAATATTTTGCTGGGTTGGCGTTGGTTTCCATGTAATTTGACAAATAAATAAAGCTGTCTCTTTAGTTGTCAGTTTTGAGTCAATATTTTTTAATTCTCTTTTTCGTGTCGATTGCTGATTGAGTTGAAGCCAGAAACGGCTCAAAACGAATTAAGTAAATTACCAACAGATATTCAGGCTGAGGCGACAAACGCCATATCCAAACTACTTCCATTTAAATCCCGAGTAACTTATGAAAAGGAATACAAAAATTTTCAAAAATGGAAGCAATTAAAAAACGTACGAGAAGAAATAAAGTTTTAATCTATCCTCGCTGTTAAAGTATCATTTAATCTACTCTTGCAGTTAAAGTACTATTTTATCTACTATTTTTCATAGATATAAGACAATTTTAACAGTTGATATGGAAAAAAATAAAAAAATCTGTAAAATGTATTTATATTAAAAAAATAGTCGCTTATTTCGAAGAACCATGGAAAGTATAATAAACGAATTTAGAAGTAGGCGACAAAGAACTAGATTAAGCCCAAGATGAAAAAGAAATCGATAGAAATAAAGAGCTTCTGATCTATATCTCTAAATAAGTTTTTAATGGTATACTACAAAATATATTTGGTCATGGTTTTGGAGTCTCTATTGAACTTGAAGAGCCAAAACATATAAAATAAATTTCAACTTATGGGCTTATATATAGGCGAAGTTATATGTATGGCAAAGGTCCAAAACTTCTCCTAACGAACGTTATCAGGATTTATGGGCTTTTCCCTATTTGCTAATTGCGAAATTCCTGTGACGGTTCTAAACCGAAGAGGAAACCATTATTTCCAGTGGATACGAAATCGTTGTTCTTATGCTCGTTAGGGGAAATATGGCCACCTGTGGACCCAGTACGTTTTAATTTTCTATTTTGGGAGAAATAAGTTGATATAACAGTTTAGAAAACTGTTTTTTCTATATTTATATTATTTCATTATCTAAAAAGTCCAAGTTCTTTATCTTTATCTTGATTTTAGTTTCTACGAATTTATTTTGTACTTTGTAAGTTTATTTTATGTAATTTCTTGTTTTTTTTTCTAATTAGTTCTGTGTAAAGTATATTTGCAATAAAATCTATTGGAAGAGAGAAACGTTTGCTCAGCAGGTAAAAGACCATATTATAACGTGATATACTGATGCTTCCAAAACTAAAACATGGACAGGGATAGGAGTATTTAGGCCGAAAACTAAATACTCCGAACCAATAGGCACCTACCTTATCGAAAGATGCGTACAATTTATCTTAGATAGGAATTATCGGAAACAGGAAATAGCCATCTTATCCATAGACAAGCAGTACTAAAAGCGATCAACTCAGTATCAATCAATTCGAAATTAGTCAAAGAATGCATAGAGAAACTGAACAAATTAGATAAAGATAGTAAAGTTCTCCAACTCTGGCTGCAAGCCCACCAAGAGATAGAACGCAATGAAAAAGCAAAAGATTTAGCTAGCAAAGGAACGAACACTCTACTAACTGGACCAGAACCATTCTGTTTCCTAAGTGGAAACCAACTTAAAGACTCCATCCGTATCCTGGAATGGGAATCATCCAGCTGTCTAAAACACTCGAAAAAATTCCTCAGAACTTTTGACCAAGAAAAATTAAAGATTTTCCTTGATTTAATTAAAACAGTCCTCGCATTGTCACGTGGTTTTTAACAGAACACTGTCTCCTCAATGAACACCTCAGAAGCTAAAAAACAACGGCGAATGCCAAAACATAATAATATTATCCCAATAATATAATTCCAAAATCATTCATAAAAACTGCTGCTTTGCTAACAAATTAAATTTTCATTATCAAACAAACAGCCATTTATTGACACCGACTATATTGCTAGCCTGATGAGCAATAATACAATAATTATATTTATTAATATAACGTTATATTAACAATTATTTCACAAACAATAATTATCTACACATTTTCCATTATACCGAGTATTGTACTGAAATTAAATAACATTATTGAATAATATTGGAATTGTACGCTCGTGTCACTATTTTGTTAGTGCGATCCCTTGCTTAGTAGACTTCGGTCGTCGATTGTAATTTCATTCTAAAACGCATTGGCAACTTATTTGTCATCGATGTAATACTCATTACTATATTTTTTTAATAATTTCCATTAATATATTCTTGGTTATACGATTCTATTCAAGAAATATTCGTTGAGTTTTTTTAAAAATGTTAAGCATTTAATTCTTTGTTTTAATGAAAGTTTTTTACGTAGTTTTATATACTACAACCACTGTTGCCGCTAACGCAGTACAGAAAAAGTGTAAATTTACAAGAAAAATGTAAATTTACAGAAAAGTGTAAATTTACAGAAAAAGTGTAAATTTGCGAAAAAATGTAAATTTACAGAAAAAGTGTAAATTTACAAAAGAAATGTAAATTTACAGAAAAGTGTAAATTTACAAAAAATGTAAATTTACAGAAAAAGTGTAAATTTACAAAAAAATGTAAATTTACAGAAAAGTGTAAATTTACAAGAAAAATGTTAATTTACAGAAAAAGTGTAAATTTACGAAAAAATGTAAATTTACAGAAAAAGTGTAAATTTACAAAAGAAATGCAAATTTGCAGATAAGTGTAAATTTACAAAAAATTTAAATTTACAGAAAAGTGTAAATTTACAGAAAAAGTGTAAATTTGCGAAAAAATGTAAATTTACAGAAAAGTGTAAATTTACAAAAGAAATGTAAATTTACAAAAAAAAGTAAATTTACGGAAAAATGTAAATTTACAGAAAAAGTGTAAATTTACAAAAGAAATGTAAATTTACAGAAAAAGTGTAAATTTACAAAAAAATGTAAATTTACAGAAAAGTGTAAATTTACAAGAAAAATGTTAATTTACAGAAAAAGTGTAAATTTACAGAAAAAAGGGTAAATTTACACTTCCAACTGGCAGTAAGCGCTATTAAAAAATAAAGAAGAGTACAGGCCAAGTAAATAACATCTAGCGCTTGACCTCGCCAAAATTATCATCGATTGACACTCCCGAGCCTTCTTTGACGCCGTTTTTTTTTCAGCTAAGTGAAATAAATTCGATAATAGATAAATAACTTGAAGAGTGTTCGAATTTTATAAATTTAACATTTTCTTTCTATTTCAGCAAGACTGTCCGAACGGTAGACTTACTCCGGCCAAGTTTGTCGACATGTACAAAATGTTCTTTCCAAGTGGCAACGCGGAAGAATTCTGCGATCACGTCTTCAGGACATTCGACATGGATAAAAACGGTTATATCGACTTCAAAGTGAGTAAAAATCATCTAGAAATTCAAGAATTTAATTATAAAACGGATTAAAGTTGGCAGTCGCCAAAATTCCACTGGGTAATAAGCCCAAGTCGACGCTTGGAAGAAACTAATTTCATTTTAATTAATTTTATCATGTCGATTTTAAACTCGAATTATTCCATGCTCATTTTGAGTAAGGAATTTGAGAATAAATATTAAAATTTAATTAATAAATAAATTAAATAAATAGCCTTAATTTAGACATTTTCTTGAATTTTTAATCATCATCATCATCATCATCATTATTTTCAGCTTATTCAACCAATTATAGTGCAGCCTTCCTCACATATTTAGATATTCTCTTTGTAGTTTGGTCCATTCTTGTCTACTGTCGGCTATACGGGCCCAAGTTATCCCTGCTAATTTTCTAGTATCATGGTCCCATCTTAGGTTTGGTCTTCCTCTAGGTCTCTTAAGTCCTCGTAGATACCATGCTGTAATTTTTGTGTGGTACATCTGTTTATCTGTTGTTTGTCCGTCCTTCTTGCCAGTTGTCCTGCCCATAGCCACTTGAGGGATTTGACTCTATTACCTTGGATAACATCTATTACTTTGGTCTTTTGTCGTATCCACTCTATTCTTTTATGGTCTTTCTTGGTTATTCCCAGCATATTTCGTTCCATTGAGCGTTGTGCGACCTGCAGTTTTCCTATGATGTCCGCTTTAAGTGTTCAGGTTTCGCATTCATAGGTCACCACTACTGGTAGTACACATTGGTCGAATTGGTTTTCTTTTTTACATAAAGTAGCATTCTAGCTATACTAGCATTTTTAGCATTAAAATATATCGCAATTGTAGCAACTTTTACCCCCAAAATTTCATTTGAATCGCTAAAAGTTCTTGGAAGAAAATTATAATAAATCGAAAAAAAAAATAAAGACCCCCTGTAGCTATGAAACAAATCAAAATCGCACCTATGTTGATATAAAAAATAAATCTTATTTTTACACGATGAATCTCCCCACGAGAGATGGCATATGATTTTTGAAACACCTCGTATATTTGTTTATCTACGTCAGTGAGTTATCATATATGAAGCTCTTAACTCATGCTTTTTGGGTGAGTTAAGAGCTTCTTTGCACGTACATTACTAGGGGCAATATGTGGATCAGACCATCAGCTCTTATTTGCCAAAATAAAACTTAAACTCAAAACACCCTTCAACCACATAACACCAACAAGATTAATAAAAAGAAACAGTGAAGAAATTCTCCAAGGAACCCAGGCTTTCCTGACTACCTCAAGAGAAAATACAACAGCCCAAGAAATATGGGAAGCTTTCAAAAAATGCACAACGACTGCAACAGGGTCAGAAAAAGGAGATCAACCGATAAAACGAAAACACTGGTTATCGAACAAGACATTCCAGATCATCGAAGACAGAAGACTTCTCCACCGGAAAGGCATACATACAGAAGAAGAGAAAGAAGAACTAAAATACCTGAACAAGGCAATAAAGCAAGGAGCAAGAAGAGACAAACAACAATTTACTCTGATAGCAAAGAAATCGAGGGACACAGTCTAAATAACCAACCAAGAGACTTCTTCAAAAAAATAAAATATATTACCAGGGACTTTAAAGCCAGAAATTGGGCAATCGAAGATCAAAATGGAACTTTAAGAACCAAAAAAGAAGACATTATTGAGGTGTGGAGATCATATTGCGAAGATATTGGATTTATACAAAGATAGTGAAGAATATAACTATGTCGACCACCACGAAAATTCAGAGAAAGAACCGGACATCCTTAAAAGTGAAGTTGAATTGGCCATAAACAAATTAAAATACCATAAAGCACCAGGTTCAGACCTAATGACAGCAGAAATAATAAAAGCCGTTAAAGAACCTGGATTAGAAATGCTTCATCTGATCTGTAATAAAATATGGCACACTCCACCATTGTCACTCTCCACAAGAAAGAGAGCATACATAAGTGCAGCAACTATCGTACAATTTCCCTCATCTCACATGCCAATAAAGTAATGTTGCAAATTATAAATGAAAGACTGAAAGCTTTTCTAGAAAGAGAAATTCCAGCAGAACAAGCAGGTTTCACCAAGGGCAGAGGCACTCGGGAACATCTTCTGAATATGCGCCAAATCATAGAGAAAGCAAGGGAATTCAACATCTCTCTTTATATTTGTTTCGTAGACTATAAAAAAGCTTTCGATAAAGTCAGATGGCATCACCTGTGGAAAATCTTAAAGGAAGTTGGGGTACCGCAACACCTTATTTCACTTATCATCCAGTTGTATCAGCACACTACAGGATCAGTTAGAATACTGGATTCAGCTTCAAAGGAATTTTCCTCGAACAAGGAGTCAGACAGGGGTGTATATTGTCTCCTCAACTATTTAACATATACGGAGAATACATAATGAGAAGGTCGCTAGAAAGATGGGAAAGAGGCATTTCAATAAATGGCCAAAAAATAAATAATCTACGCTTTGCAGATGATACAGCACTACTCGCTAGCAGTCAAGAAGAGTTAATCAATTTAGTAAATAGGGTAGAAAACGAAAGCAATCGGCTCGGTCTGGAACTAAATACGCAAAAAACCGAAATCATGATAGTTGATAGGCAACATAACAACCATCCAAATATAAGTCATATCGACCGCTTTGAAGTCGTTAAGTCATACGTATACCTGGGATCACTATTGATAAATACAGGCACATCGAAAGAAGAGGTGAAGCGTAGGTGCAACATGGCCAAGGTAGCTGTTGGGAGACTGACCAAGATCTGGAAAGACCGCCAGATTTCAAGAGCCACCAAAAACCGGCTAGTCAACTGTTTGGTACTCCCAATATTGACGTATGGCTGCGAATCGTGGACTCTCAGGCAGGCGGAACGTAAGAAGATCGATGCTACCGAGACGTATTGTTATAGACGTATGCTCCGTATCACATGGACTAAACGCCGTACAAACGTTTCCATTTTAAATGAACTTAATATTACTAACAGGCTTTCTGTAAAATCCGACTAAAACAACTAAAATATTTTGGACATATAATGAGGAAAAGTCCGGACAATATGGAAAGACTCATAATTCAAGGCAAGGTGGAGGGACGTAGACCACGTGGCCGCTCTCCAACTCGATGGATAGACCAGATCACGACTCATCGACTCAGAGCACGATGTCATCGAGATGACAAAAGACAGAGGCGCATGGAGAAAAATCATCCATGATGTTACGCTGACCACAACACTCCCTAATGGGGGTCAGGACTGAAGAGAGAAGAGGTTCTTAACTCATCCATTTTTATTACCGCACTCCTTGTTTAGATGACAACTAAAGAGAAAAACGCGTACGGACGAGATGGGTCTTAAATTATTTATGCGCTTAAATGGTGAAGCTAGACAAGCTAGAGCCGGCGGAAAAGAGCCAAACAACGGGGAAAATTCGGTGAGGAAGACAGTGAGGAGGAGAGGAGGTTATGTCGGCCGGGTCAGGGCGGCTGGAAAGAAAATGTAAAAAAGAAGGAGGGGGGCGTCTAGGGATCAATGTGACGGCAGCGACGTAGGTTAGGAACGTTGATAGAAACCGAAAGTAAAGTTAATAGGATTCTAAATGTCATTAACCTAAAATGGTTCAATCATAGTCAGATGACCTGCCTATTTAAAAATAAACATATTCAAATCCAAAAGATTCAGGTTTAAGACACACTGTATACATAAATAATTATTATTATTACTTATCAAATTTCTCATAATTGAATAAAATATGATATCTCTGATTTCTTTAGATGAATATAAAGTCATCATTTTCTTTTCATTTTATAACCCTAAGCAACAAATTTGATTGAAAATGGGTACCGACTAGCTATGCTAATACACCGTTTAATACCCGATCCCAAACTTAAGCGACGTTAGACGAGGTGAGCATTTGGACGGATGATCGTTTGAAAAACCGTGGTGTTATTGCTCCGAAGCAAGAGTATAACATCTATTATTAGACGTACTATTCATTCACACTGGTTAGAGGCCGGATGAGATTGGATATCTCGTAACATAATTTAGGATCACCCATATTGCAGTAAAACTCTAGATCAGAGAAAAACAAACCGTCCACTGGAGAAACAGACATAGCAAGGAAGCAAGCAATCTTCATCCAACGACCTGATTCTAAAACTACAAAGGAACTGTTAATAGTCTACCAAGAATGAACTGTTATTTACAACATGTCATGGTTACAAAATCCCGCTTAACATGGGCTGGTCACGTATGCAGATTGCAAGAAAACCGCATACCAAAATTTCTGCTTCACGGTGAGCTTTTAGACGGTAAGAGGAGGCCGGGTGGACAACTGAAAAGGTACAAGGACATTTTCCACGAAAACTTAAAGAGGATTAACATGCAGAATGAGTGGGAAACAGCAGCTCAAAATAGAACACAATGGAGAAGAGTTGTAAACTCAGTTAACAGCGACAACCAAAAAGTAAAGAGGCAACAAAGCAACGAGATTTTTGAATTTCCGGAGTGCGGTAGGCAGATAACATCACGTATCGGGCTTTTCAGTCATAGAAAAGCTCATGAAAGAAAACGCCTTGCGTGACCATCTTCTTTATGTGTGTCGAATACTCGTCAGCGAGTAACGGCTGTATGTATGTATGTATGTATGTATTAATCAGAATTTACACTATTGCCTGCTATTGCTCCTATTGCTACTCACGAGCGCAGATGTCCTAAACTTGTAAACTGCTCCGAAATGTCACTGCGATTTTCTTGGAACTGGAGCAGTCACATACTGCGACGTTGGTGGAGCTGTGACAAAGTAGCGGACTGCGATTTCACAACCCACCTCTACTATGTGGGAAAGCAAGGTTAGAACCGGAGGAACTCTCCTCCTAGCAAGAACCTGCAAAAACTGGTGCAGGGTACAGGGATAGGCAATTGGGTGCAGACATAAACTTGGGAGTAAAAATGAGACGTTAACTTAAAATAATTTACTTTTTAT